GCGGGTAATCGTGTTGTGCCTTTTTAACATGGTTTATGTGTGCATTTATCCGACATTAGATCAACACATGAGATTGTTGCCATGTTGTGCCTTTTCTATCATGGATTTTTTGTGTGTTTATTAAAGAATATTTTTTTCTAAAATATTTTGTCGTTCGGTTATTTTGTAACGTGGTTGTAATGTCACATGATTATTTTATCTGCGGTTATTTTATCCGCGGTTATTTTGTCCGCGGTTATTTTGTCGCGGTTATTTTGTCCGCGGATATTTTGTCGCAGCACCTAATTTTTCATCACATCGTAAAGTTACGACCAGTTAATACACTACAGGCATGATTTGATTTTTAAAAAATAACAAATTATAGTCTATGATATCAAAAAACATCAAAAAATTTTTTGAATGAAATTTCTGACTAAGTGACTGAGAAATTTTGGTCTAACTTTAGAAAATTACTGCTCAAATTTTTGAATAATCTTTTGTAATCACATAAATTTTCTTCCATACTTAACAATTAACGGAAATTTTTTTACAATGTTATCATAAATCATTTTGGAGCACTTAACTAATATTTAATTTGTATGAAAGGAATATTTTCATAAAATGACACTTTAAATTTTTAATGTAAATGATGTAATGCAGCAGAATCAGATAAAATTATAGAAATTTTTATTAAAAGCCAAAATTATTATTGATGAAATTACTTCCTCCTGAAAATAACACTATAAAAGATAATAAGAAAATAACAACAACAACAACAACAACAGGGAAACTTATTAATATTTTTACTTGAATTAATTTTATGAAGTTAAATAATAAAAAAAAAAAAAAAAAATCTAAAAAATATTAAAAATAAAAATTTAATATATTTGTTGGAGAAAAAACAATATTTGTAAAACACATAAATTATTTCTTCATCTGAACTTAATATATCTGAGTCAAGTATCTTGCAGCGAGAATTTTTATTGACCATGCGCCACCTGTTGGAGACTTTCCGAACTACTTTATTCAAATTTTTTTTTTAACTTGAAAATAGCCATTATTAATATTAAAATTGATCATAATTCAATTTTTAATAAAAAAAAAATTTTTGATAAAATTTTTCTGACATTTCTTAAAATAAACGAGTAAAGAGAAGTAGATTTTTGTAATTAGCAGAACTTTAATTAATAGGAGCAATTTATATCTAAAATTCAGTGGGAGGCAAGGGGTCTATTATTAATATAATAAAGGAAATATTGTGAATGCACATTTAAAATGTACATAAATATTCAAATGAGTCTGAGAGTTCTCAGAGGCGAATAAATAGACTAACCACGTGGCACACGAGAAGAAAATTGAAGGAGTTATTACTATTTTACTATTGTAATTTTTACTAAATAAAATAGTAACGGTGGACTATACTTCTCATTTAGTAATTTTTACGATCTACTATTGTAAATTTTATCCAACAAATGAGACTAGCAAGAGTCTTAAAAAGTCGAATACTATAGTAGAGCAAATTATACAATATGTGTTTGTGAATTTTACAATTCAACTATTGTAAAAATTCACAGTTGGTTTTTTTAAAAGAAATATTAGGGAGGAAGAGAGATAGAAGGTTGGGCTAATTGGTACCTGTAAAATTGTGATAATATTAGTGTCAGTATCAGACTTCTATGTATTAATGTTAGGAGTTTAAATTTTTACAATATTTGTTTTCCATCATCTAGAAAATTTTCGAGAAAAAAATTTGATTTTTGTATGTAACTTAAATTCATGATCTTCAATGTATACATAAAAGCGCCGATACGATCATCATGAAACCAGCTATTGATCTAGTAAACTGGTTATTATATATCCAGATCGAGCATAGCTCAGTGTCGTTTTAAAAATAACTTCTTTTGATGGAATAAAATTTAAAAATTAAAGCGCGAAAGTTACAATCCAAAAGTTACGATCCTGTAATTCAATATGGTGGTTGCATTCTGTAACTTCAGACTTCAAGCCTCTCACTAACACTCAGTAAAAACCATAATAATCATTTAGTTCTTTATTCTTAGAGTAACTAACTTACTAGCTCTTGCATAAAACTTATTCTTGTTAATTTTTTTTTAGGTTACATTATCTATATTTGCTGGTTATCACGTTTCGCAGTATGATTTAATTCTTCGTCTCTACAAATTAACAAGAAATAAATGAAAATTACAAAGTTAACTTTAAATAGACGTTGGATAAATTTAAAATATAGGAATCCTGGGATCTAAAACCCAAAGAATAAAAATAAAAAATGATAGGCGATACAAAATCTAAGCGAGAAACGATATCCTGAAGGAATCAGCTTGAGGGACTAAGGGGTGAGGCTATTTTTGTGGTCGTAAGGGGCCGCCTAGGTATACGAAATAAGTACTGAATGAATAGAAGGAGCCTGTTTACTCGCAGCCTACGCGATCCTTCTCTTTACCCCGCTCAACGTTCATTCTCTCTTTTCACAATTTCTGTCCTTGTCTTTCGTTCATTCTCAGTCTCTCCGTCCTTTATGAGCAACCTATATATATATGTATATCGACTAACCTACACAAAAAAGTTTGATCTCGATCGCGCTCACGCGATCCCGCCATTTTGAATAAATAAACTGCGCATGTACATAAATTTAAGCGCATGCGTTGTTAACCTGCGTGCGCATATGTTAACAAGACGCGGGCGCAGAGTGGGGATTTCTTAAGCGACTCACTACATTACCAGTATGTTAGGAACCTCCGTAAGATTCCTATCGTTTTATAAAAAAGTATGTTTAAAAAAGTAATAATAAAATAATTATAAATAATTATTTATTATTTTGTATTTTTTATTTGTTGTTATTAAAAAGTTTTTACCAGTAATAATTAAATAAAAGTTTATTGTTTTATTAATAACGTGATATCTAATGATTTAAATATCATTAAACTAAATTATTTAAATATTATTTAAATATGTTATAATAATACCGATAATAACAATAATAATTGTTATAATTATCATTATTATTTTATTTATCAATGATAAGTGTGTAATTGTGATTATTATTTTATAAATAAATGATAAAGTGAAAAAAAATGAGTATAAAACAAAATAATGGTTTTAATACTTGATTTTATAAATATTAACATATTTTATTGTTTTAAATAAATAAATAAATCAAGTAAACAATTACCTGTGGAAAAAATATAATAATCAAATGAAAAAAAATAAATAAATATTATTAAATGAAAAGGATAAAAAATACGACGAGGGGGAAAAAATTTATCGTGGACAAACGAGACGGGGATTGGTATTGCCTCGGATTATCGTTTTTTTCGAGTGCGCACTGCGTTAAACACGCCGCGCGCAAATTTAAAAATAATAAAACGAAAATTATTTGTTTTATTTTAATTTAATGGTTTTATGTTTTATTAAAAAAAAAAAAAGTGAATGAATGAAAATCAGTAGGAAGACAATTGGTGATTCTATAAAAAAAACGGGTGGGGTGAAAAAAATTTAGCGTTTGGTGAATTAAAAGTGTGGAAGTGTGGATACCTTGGACTGTTCCCCGCCCCCGGCGCTGCCCCCGCGGCGCCCGCCTTGGCCGCCAAATCGACAATTAAGCTATAATACATTAAGAAACGTTGAAGCTGTGGGTACAACTGGAGTAACTATTATTAGTGGAGGTGGTGGTGGTGGTGGTGGTGGTGGTGGCATTGCTACTTCAAGAAATAATGGTGGTAGTAATAATATTATTAATTCACAATTAATAAGTTATAGTGGTGGTAGTAGTAGTAGTGGTTCATTAATTAATACCACTACGAGTATTACGCCTAGTAGTACACCGATAATAGCTTCTGGTTGTGGAAGTGGAAGATTTAAACAAGGATTGAGGTGTCATCAAACTCCACCACCACCACCGACACTTGTACCACCACAATATCCTGCTCCACCACGGCCACCAAGTCGTAACGGTTAGTTTTATCTCGGCTTTTATTTTTATACATTTATATTTTATCTTAGGATTTATTTATTAAAAACCATCATTTGGCAAACTATTTTCATCAACAATTAAGAGGTTCAATTGCAAAAAACCGTGCACGATCATTAGAAATTTTTACTACAGATTGGAATAGCAGAAAATAATCGATGATTTCTATGACAATATGCTAGGTATCATGGTTGTAATCTTCAAAAAGGGATAGCAATATTAAGAAGTTATAATGTTTTATTTTTGGTGATTGCAAGTGTGACCATAGTATTCTCGCCGAAAATTGTGATTGGATTTTTCTTTAAGTTCATTGAAAATTTGAAAATAGAATACTTTGAAAACAAGTTTTAAAAATGTCAAAGTTTCTAAAAATTATGATAATTCAGAAGTTGATATTTAAAACTTTATTAAAAAATTTTTTGACATGTACCATACAAAAAAAATTTAATAGAAATTGCTAATTAAAATTTGAATAAATTAAAAATTTTATCAACGATTTTCGGTGAGAGTTAAACTTTTTTTTTACAATAAAAGCTTTGAAACTGATTGAAAAATAAATTTTCATGATTTTCGTAATTGAAAACGAATAATTTGAAAGAAAAAACATTTTGAATTGTTTGTTTTCCATCTCAAATAACAAAAATTCTCACTTTGAAAAAATAACAAACATTTCGAGTTGAAATTTTGATTATTTATAAGTTTTGAAGTCGTGTATTTTAAATGTTTTGCTATTAGAAGTTGTAAACATAATCATTAAATTTTTTTGGTGAAAACATGGATCAGTTAGTTCATTATTAATTTATCAATTTACTCCGCATCGTTATTATTTATGAAACAAAGTGTTTTTAGATTAGTAAAATTAACAGTCTTAAGCTTAAAAAAGAAGCTGTACTTAGTCTGGATATTATTTTTTAGGTAGATTTCATAGAAATCAATCTATTGCATTGGTCCTCATGTCGGAATTCACTCGGAATTTTGTCGTAATATCACTTAACTAGTTGAGTGAAGCTCAAAAATAACGTTAGTTAAAAAATTTATATATGTATGTATATATATGTAATATAACGCGGGATGTTGCCGCGATTGTGTCTACAGTTCTTGTCGGATCTAGATGAAATTTGTTACACATATTCTTTGGATAATAACCTTGAACGAGTTCGAAGATGAGCGAAATCCATCGATAAGTTTATAAATGGCAGCTCTTCAAAATTATCAAAATAGTGAAAATCACGTTTTCGGTGACTTCATTAATGTATAACTTTTGGTTGAAATGAGATGGCTAATTTTTTATGAATTCATGTAAAAGCTCATGAAATTGCCTTTAATTTGACGTATATAACATTGACATTTTTACCATTTTTAGTTATTTTATCAAGGTTAAGAGTTTGACTGAACCATTTTCAGGCAATGTGTAGTGCAGGCGACTTATGAATGTTATTCTGTCGAGAATTCGTAACAGATCCCAATGAAATTTAGTATACAAATTCATTTGACAATTAGCTTGCATAAGCCTTAAAATGAGCGAAATCCTTCGATTAGTTCAGAAATAGTAGCTCTTCAAAATGATCAAAATAGGAGAAATTACGTTTTCGGTGACTTCATTTATGTATAACTTTTAATAGCAAAAAGATAGCTCATTTTTGATAAATTCACTCGAAAACTCATAAAAACACTTCTTATTTGACGTATATAATGTTAATTTTTTGACCATTATTAGTTATTTTATCGAAGTTAAGAGTTCAATTGAACCATTTTCAGGCAATGTGTAATACAACCTATCCATGTTAAACAAAAGTTATTGAGACAAGACGATAATTCATTCTATGAAATCTACCTTCCATTTCGGGTATGGCCAAATGGCGTCTTTTTTAATTTTCTGCATTGCTCGTCGACCCACCCTCCACGATTCATCGAAGTCCTGATTTTCTTTTTTGTGCAGCATCTCTTAATCCTTTCCGTTCGCCCTGTCCATTTATCCTTCCCTTCCGTCCCCTCCCAAACCAACTCTTCTTCTTTCTTAAGTTACTCCGCCTCATTTTCATTCAAGCTTTGTACCAATTTGGCCTCTCTGTTATCTTCCTTTATCCCTTACCAGCTTATTAATAACTAGCTGGTGATCCGAGTCAAGCCTATACCCTATTTTCATCTTTTTAATCCTGTCCTCTGATCTTACATTAATCACTCCAAAGTCTACCACTGATTTACACTTAACTCTGTTGAAGGTCCATCTTTCCTTTTTTACCTCCTTGTTTCCATTTAAGACAATCTATCCCCTTTTATCCAGCAACTCTAGCATTACTCTCCGCTCGCTACTCATCACTGTGCCTTTCGACCACCTCTCTTCTCCCTCATTAAGCTCAGCAATACTGAACTGTCCTCCTATTCTCGCATTTCAGTAGAGTTGAGTAGTTCCGATAAAATTTCGTATCGAATATGGAACGTTTCCTGAGCTTAAGGTAGTTCTTTCCCAACCTATAGTTTATGCTACTGCTGTCTTTTTCACTCTTTAGTGTCGCCTCTCTTAGGGGCTATTGCTCACTTACTTCCACGCTTAAATATAATGATTATTTTTAAACACAAACTTTTATCATAATTTATTTATTTATTTAACGCCGTCGGCAATTTTACAAATGAACAATTAATAATAAAATTTTATTGCAATATTTTGATATAAAATACTTGACATAAAAAATGAAATATATGATTGGTGCTTTACTATAAGTACCATGGGAAATCACCAATCAAAAATTATTCTATAAATATCGGTCGACTGATACGCATTTTAGTGGTGTAATTGTATACTCTAATGACTAAAAAGCAATATTTATTGGTTTACGTTTCTTTATATGCAAATAAATATATGCGTTGGTTAGTAACCTATGATGTTAAAAAATCATTTATTAACAGTTAATAAAGCTTATTAAATATAAACAAATCCTTCTATTAGTGTATAAAACTGTCACATATTTTATTTTAACGTTTTTTTTTACTATTATTTATAATATTTATATATTTTTATGTTTCTTGCTATTGAGATTCGTATAGAAACATACTCTGACAGCATCCCATAGTTCATATTTTGACTGGCGCTGCAGTCACACTCATAGCGAATATAAGTAACTCATCTGGTAACTTACTTCTTATTGCCCCCCATCTTTTTTCTTCGACCCAAATTTCCGTCATCCGATGACGTCAAACTCCTTCAAATAATCGTAGAATCTTTACTCCTCCCGCCTCTCCCTCTATTCACTTGTCTCTGATCACTCCTTCCCCCTTCTCGTTTTTGCCACTTTCACCAGTTTGTTTCATATTCTATCGAGCTTGTACCTTGTTTCTATCCAAATCTGGCCAAATCTCACTTTCACACCTTTTTTCCTTTCCCTCTTTGCCAACCTGGCGCGCTCTCTCAACTTTTTGGTTCTTTTCATTCTCTATAAATATCTTCCTTCCCTTCAACTTTGCCTTATTCTCTATAACCTCATTTTTATCTTCTTACCTCTTCATCTTCTTTCACACTACTTTTCGATTCTTTTTCAACTCTCTGAATACACTTATATCATCCTTTATTTTCACTCTCTGTCGAAAACGCACACACACCGTACCACGTCTCGAACAGAAGTTGCGAAAAATTAATAAATAGCAATTTTTATCCTAATTCTAGCGAGTAAGTGTAAATCAAAAACGCTACTAAGACAGATTTCTTATGTATGTACATCCGGTTATACTCTTTATTTGTTTATTTTTAAATAATCTATCTGTGTATATTTTTCAATTATTTTTGAAAATAACTAAATTTACAAAAAAAAAATTTATATTGTACTCGTGAATTTTTTTAATCAAGAAGATAATGGAAAAAAAAAGTGCTTTCTAATTAATGTTTAAATACTGATTACTTTTCAGATTTATGGGTGTTTGTGTCCATGAGGGTCAGTTACATGCATTAACAGAATATATAAACAATGGTAGTTTGGAGCAACTTATTATGGCCAGGCATCTACCTTTAAGTCATTTAACAAAAATGAATCTTGCTCAAGACATAGGTCGAGGTATGGCATATCTTCATAGTAGAGGAATTTTCCATCGTGATTTGACGTCGAAAAATGTTTTAATCAAACGCCACGAAAAAACTGAGAAACTTACAGCAGTTGTCGGGGACTTTGGACTTGCATCGAAAATTCCAGATCCAAATTCGGGATATCGATTAAGTACAGTTGGTAGTCCGTATTGGATGTCACCGGAATGTTTAAAAGGACAGTGGTATGACCACCGATCAGATGTTTTTTCTTTTGGTATAGTAATATGTGAATTAATTGGACGCGTACCTGCTGATCCTGATGTTCTTCCACGCTCAGATAACTTTGGCCTTGATTATCTTGCTGTAGCAGAAATTTGTGCTCCAGCAGATCCACCACCTGTTTTTTTACAACTTGCCTTCAATTGTTGCACCGTAAGTAACAGAAATACTGATTTTTTGCAAGTGAATAACTTTGAAATTTAATGCAAATAAATTATTTATATTGTTTAATATATTTATACAAAGCTATTTGAAAAAAAAAATAACTAACTATTTAACTTTTCACTTTAAAAATTAAATATTTTAATGAAACGGAAAATCTGGGATAACTTAAATCCTTTTAGGATAAAGAGTACTGTTTAAATGCTAGGAATTGTATCATTTCAATGAATCAGTTTAACATTATAAGTATTAAGTAAAAAAGATTTGAAATAAAATTTACAAGGACGATATACCGGTAACCGTAGAGCATGTTTCTGAAATATCTACAAATTAATTGAAATTTTCTGAGAATGTCATTTGAATTACTTTTTCAAATACAGTGAACTGAATTTCGATTTGATAAACTATTTAAAAATTTTAACTGTTATCTTCTCATTTATTTTATAAATAAGATATTTGTTTACCTTCATTCACACACAATTATACAAACATGAAAACAATACTATGAAAATATTCGGAATAAATTCCTAAAACCTTAAAATCACGATTGTGATGACTGATGAAGATTAAATCTCTAAAAATTGGGCTGACATCAACAAATTTCCTAACTTCTGCAAATTTACGGAATTTTGTTAGTGAAAGTAAAAAAAAATGTGTGTATTTATGTACGCACGTAAGAAGTTATACTTCTTTGGCGTAACAAGATAAAAATCTTTCTAAAAATTTTATCTTTCGCGTTATTTTAAGTTTGTAGAAAAAACGACACTAATAATAGAAAAAAAAGTATTTAATACATTGAAAGTTTTATTATAACGCATTATCTAGTTAAATACAGTTTATTTAAATATCATAAAAAAATTATTTCTACATAATTAAAAAAATCTGTAAATCGGTTGACCGCGCAGGCCAACCCTAGAACTTCTCGCTAAGTTTGCATTTGAAGCACCTTAAAAAGTTTTTTTTGGTTAATATTTGAGCTTTTCAAGCTCGAAGCACAGTTTTTCACATTTTGAGCTCCTCGAACTCAAAATATATTTATTAAACAACTATAACTTTTGAATATGTCATTCGATTTTCATTTTTAAGAAAGTATTTGACGCAGTTTTTAAAGCACAAAAAAACGTACAAGTTTATATTGATTAGTTGAGAAATCTCGAAGATATTTCAGAAAAATACCGAAAAAAAAAATTTTGTGAATTTTTAAACAACTACAACTTTTAAATACGTCGTTCGATTTTCATTTTCAAGAAATTATTCTACGCAGTTTTTTAAGCACAAAAAATGTATACACGGTTTCATTATGATTTTTTTGCACGCTTAAAACTTGTTTTCAAAAAACATAAAAATTCAAATTTTTTTTTGGTTTTTTTTTTCTTCGGAATGGCTCGATGGATTAACTCTCAAATCTAATCAGATCTAAGTTTTGATAAACCCTTTCGAATGACATGCCGTAGAATTCAATCAGTCGATTCATTTTTGAGAAACCGTACGACAAAAATTTATTTACACACGTACACACACACACACACACACACACACACACACACACACACACACACACACTCACACGGCCGGACATCTCGGCGGGAATAGTTAGGATGGCTTCCTGGGACCTCAAAACGTGGACATCCGATGAAAACTCGGCTTTCAAAAATCGGACCGAAATCAATAACTTCCAACTATTGGAAAATTTTCAATTTTCTTAGCTGGAAGTTGAAAATATATATTTATGTATATTTTATTCGCAATGATAAAAAACACGTGTTGTAGGTTCAGAAACACTTGAATAAATATCGTGAATACAGTTGCCAGTTCTCACGCAAACATACGTAGATATCCTTACTTTTACTTTGTTAGTAACTTTTTTTGAAAAACTAAAATGTTGACTGGCTAACTTCAGGGTGTCGGTTTTTCGTGACGGTGTGCGCGTGTATCGTAAAAATTTACTCCCATCATTTTTTCCTAACGCGCCAAAAGAAGTATAACTTCAAAAATTGTCAATTTTTTTAATCAATCTAATCCATACAGCATAGGTGATCTTAAACTTCGGACATTGAACTTTAAACTTTTTTGTGTTCACAGTATGAGCCCAAATCTCGGCCAACCTTTCCAGAAATAGTTTTAATATTAGAAAATTTAATAAAGAATTATAATCATCAATCAAGAATTCATTATCATGCGATGCCACGAAGTGCCGAAACAGCTTTATTAACTCTCGATGACAATGTCAGAGAAAGTAGGTGTGCTCAACGTTGGACAGCTAGACGAAGAAGTCATTCGGCGGATGCTAGAAGTTGTGATAATGCAACTCCTTCAGATAAAGCTCGGTGTCACTCATCAAGGCGAGTTGCTGAACTTGCTAGTCGAAGTGATCCTCATTATCGACCTATGACAGCAAATCCTTTTCAAGCTCTAGGAGGAGTTAAAAAAATATTAGGAGATCTTTTTTCCAGTTGCCTTGAACTTCCATCCCTTGAAGATATTAGACCCAATATTGTCGACAATGTTGATTCTAAATTTAAACTAACGAATAGTATCAACATTACCAAAGTTCTCGAGAGAACAAAACCTAATTCCGAACCAAGTAGCCCTACTGCAAGAAGAAAATGGGAAAAAAAGGTGAGACAATTTCAAATCACAGTTACATGTAGAGTTCTCTATATCAAATCGGTAATTTATTTGTAGTCATAGTTCAGATTAAGATGAAATAGCACGTGAGACATTCATTCTCATAGAATATGAATATATTATGAAATCAGCACATCTCTACTTATGAATTACACTTAGTGGAGACGTTTCACTTACTTGTACTTAGAAATTAAATAGTTTATGGTTTGCTCAAAGTTGTTTAGCAACGTATTTATTATTTCCAGGTTATAAAAACAGGTGGAGGTACTTATTTCTTTGCTAACCCTGTATTTAAAGAAAGCTGGGAATTTCGGAGACGAGGCAGCTGTGAATCTGGATTCTGGAGTTGTATCGATGAGGATTCAAGCCCAGAATCATCTAATCATCGACACGCATCTACGTTAAGTAGTTCAGCAGCCAGTAGTTTATTTCTCTTGGACGACCATCGAACGAGTTCAATATTCACAGATTCTTCTGAAGATATTGCGAGTCTTGGTGGAGGAGATTCGTCTTATTGGGAAGAGAAATTAAATAGTATTGGCTCCTCTAGCACAACTATTTCAAAAATAGTCGAGTATTTCGAAAAAAAACAAGGTATTGGTAGTAAAAATACTAATGATAAGGCTCCGAATAAAATAAATCTATTAAAAGCAAGTTTTGAAAGCGGTGTACCATTGTGCAACGTCTCTACTGCTCAACGACTAGTTATTTGTGATGGCGCCGTAAAAAATAAATTATCCCTTTTCGATAAAAAATGACTCAAATATCACTATTGTTCACAAAATGAATGTTTTTGAGCATTTGAAAATTCTGTATTTGTATAGATAAATATTTATTAGTAAATATTTAATATGTAACCATTTTGTACTTTGCCCGATCAAAGCTCGAACGAAGTACTTTCGTGGGATGCAATTTTACGTTAAATTATTAATTTTATTAATTATTAATTATTCAATGGGAACCCTAGCTATTGTTTATTCTCAATTTTGATTTAACTTGATCGCAGTTGAATAAACTTGTTTGTTTATACAAAACATATTATTAAAACGATTTTCAATAATTATTTACAAAAGAGGATGTTAATAGAATGTAAATAAAATTACCAAAGTTTTAAAGTATCTCTTAACTCCCTAATTATCAGTTTGTTATAAGAACTAAGAATATATGTGCAAATTTCCTTGTTACTATTATCTGACGTACCATTATTATATAAATATTATTTATTGACTTATAAACAAGCTACAATAAAATATTTTTTCATTACTATTCTATTAATTGTTCATAGACCATTTAAAATACTTAGTCGATTACTCCATATCTGTAATAAAAACTATACACGTTTAACATTAAGGTATAGTACTACCGTTACCACAAGAGTCAAATCCCAATACCTAACCTTATTTGATTAACGTAGTAGATTTTCCTATACGAAATCGCGTTGGAGAAAGAGAGACAGAGATAAATTTTGAATGTTTTTTATCAACAAATATTCTCATATTCTCTGAAACCATACTGGTTGTTATTGAATATATTTTAGATGTTATTTTCTTTCATTATCTTAATTTTTATAAGAATCTGAACATCCAGTTTTGGGAAATAAAACAAAGTCTGTGATTTTCCATAAGGATCAATGGTAAAGGCAAAAATATGTAAATATTAATCTTTTTTTCAGTTCTCTGTAGGCCTCCAAAAAATTTAAGTGGTTAACCCTTCAGTATCCACGTTCTTTTTAGTGTCTCACTTGCACTGCAGCGACATCCTATAAGTTGAATGTTGTTGCGTGAGAAAAATTCTTATAGCGAGGGTACTAAAGGGTTAATTAAGATATTATTATGTACCTGTATGCCAATAAGTTCCATCAAATTCTGAACGTCAATTCTAAAACCGGTAGTACTACCTTAAGTTTATCAGTATTTAGATTTAAATGTTGTAGAAACAACATTTTTTGTATAATCTTTTAATTTTAAGGTTTAATTGAAAACAGTTAAAAAAAAAAAAGTAACTTTGACAATGTGAAGTTAGCACATTGTTTGAAAACTGTAAAAATGGTCTAGTCAATATTTAAGGCGGCCTTATATTTTGTATATCATATTAGAACTAAATAAATTTATAAAAATAATAAAATCTGGAAATTATTAATTAAAAAAAATTAATACTTATTTTTAAGCAATCTGCAATATAGAATTCTTAAGTACAAAAGAAAGAAAATTTTATATTTACATTATTTTGAATAATTCTCGTGATCTAAGAACTAAAATAATTCAAAATTACGAAAACAAAAAGTTTGAAAATTTTATTTAATCAAAAATTACTTAAATCGTATTATCAGTTATACCTTAAAACATTACTTTTTTAACGTAGGATTTAAAAATTTTGTTAGAAACTTTGAAGGTGTTTCATCAGCAGGAAATGAAATTTTTTGAACTAACAAGAAAGCTATAAAATTAAAAAAAAATTTTTTTTTTCTTAGTAAGGACAAGCCCCAATAGATGATCATGTACCAGTATATGATCACTCCCTGTATTTGTATATCTATATTTACAAATATAGGTATACAAATACATGGAGTGATCATATACTGGTACGTGATCATTTATTGGGGCTTTTACCTTATGTTAAAAAACAAAAAAAAATTACTCTTAACGAAGATTGAATGTCTTAATTTCCTATATTATATATTTTTAAAACCGATGAACTCAACTGCATAAATTTTTGTCGAATATTATGAATGTTATTTAAAATTGATTCAGATCGAATTGATAATTATACCCGGGAAAAAATGATCAGGCCTGACCATGCCTGTTCATGTATGATCAAGCCTGAAATTAGACCTGATCATGCCTGATCAGGTCTGTTCAGTCTGAAGTGCTAAATACGCTCAGGCCTGACCAGGTCTGTCCATGCCTGATCAGACCTGTTCATGCCGAAAGTGTTAAATACGCTCAGGCCTGAGCAGGCCTGTTCATGTCTGAAGTGTTAAATACACTCAGGCCTGAGCAGGCCTGTCCATGCTTGTTCATGTCTGAAGTATTAAATACGCTCAGGCCTGATCAGACCTGTCCATGCCTGAAGTGTTAAATACGCTCAGGCCTGACTAGGCCTGTTCATCTCTGAAGCGGTAATTACGCTCAGGCCTGTCCATGCCTGATTAGACCTGTCCATGCCTGTTTATGTCTGTTCATGTTTGAAGTGTTAAATACGCTCAGGCCTGTCCATGTCTGATCAGGCCTATCCATGCCTGTTCATCTCTGAAGCGGTAAATACGCTCAGGCCTGATCAGGCCTGTTTACGTCTGAAGGGTTAAATACCTCAGGTCTCACCAGGCCTGTTCATGACTATCTCTGAGGCGTTAAATACACTCAGGTATGATCAGGCCTGTTCATAGCCTGTGCATAGTCAGAAATGTGATGAAAATTTTTCTTTGACGAAAAAAATTTTTTTGGTCATCACAAAATGTGCAAAATTATTTTTATCATTACGTTTAAATAATTTTGAAATAAAAAATTTGTTACATATCTCATCGAAAGTTTTGGTCTCTGCTCTGCTCCTGCCTAATATTAAAATCATTACTTATTATATTATTTTAATAAATGTGATGTAATAATGAGATTCGGTTAAATAAATAAATTAGGACTATCAAAATATATTATAAAATCAATTTTTATCTTATATTTATGATAAACTTATTTGATACGTTATGTACTTCATAGAATTGTTGTCACATAAGGTAGCAGCACAGCAGGCGAGAACTTTAAGGCGCACGGATATTGCCAAAGTTAAGCAGCATTGAGCGTGATTAGTAGTTGGATGGGTGACTGCTGGTGTTACAGCCGTACAATTATATGTAATCATTTTTTTTTTATTTTAATTTATTATAGAGAATTGCGTATGACTATCAAGTACTATATCTATAAAATTAAGCAAAATAATTAATTAAAAGTAACAATGGGATTTCAGACCTGACCATGTCTGATCAGGCCTGATCAGGTCGATTCATGCCTGATCAGGCATGGTCATTTTTCATGCCTGATCAGGCCTGAAGACTCATGCCTGTTCATGTCTGATCATTTTTTTCCGGGTATAAGTTCAAAAAATACTAATTTACTTTTTTTATTGATTAATGGATTCATAAACTTTGCTTTTTTATAATAGAAATGACGAAGTTGATTAATTTTCTCTTATAGCTTACCTGATATCATCAGAAAGATTTACCAATGTTTATTTGATGCTAATATGGTGCTTACTAAATTCAAATAGAAAAAAATATATTATTTAACATAGAAAATAATTCTGAGACCGATGGTGGAGATGACCGATCAAATTGTTAACCTGTCCAGGTCATAACGTTCTAAACTAATAAATGACCGAGTCGCAAGATTTAAGGGGCAAATCTTAACTCCTTGTGGAGAAACCACGACTACTCAAACTGGGTTAGTTACACGTAGGCGTCAGTTACTTTTGAGAAAAATAACAAACTATTGGAAATATTAGGGATTGCTTAGTCGGAAATGCAACGGAAATAGAAATAAGATAGGATGAGAGATCGGTATGAGAAGACAAAAGAGGCCATTCGGCAGCCGAAATGGAAGTAGATTTCATGATGAATAAAAAAAAATACTACTAGGGTTACATACGAAAAAAAAATTAGGAAAACGGTTGACCCTGAAGGCTATCCCTGCAACTTCCCGCTAATTCCATACCTAGGCGCTTAAAATTGCACTTATGACGTGTTCGAGCTCAAAAATACAATTTATGTGTTATTTTAAGCTCTCTGAGCTCAAAGAGATAGCTTTGCTATGCTTTTGAGCTCTTTGAGCTCAAAAGTCGTATCAAAATTCGATAAAACACAATTTTTCTAATTTTCAAACTGCTGTAACTTTTTAATAAATCAACCGATTTTCACGCGGTAGGCGGCGATCGATGTGGTTTTTTGTGCTCTATAAATAATTCTAAACAAAAAATTGATCTGATGAAAAATTTCGAAGTTATTACAAAAAAACACTTTTTTCGATTTTTTTCGACAACGATATCTCACGAACGCATCAACCGATTCTGACGTTCTATGTGGCGATCGATGCGGGATTTCAAGGTTAAAAGCTGATTAGTTTTTGAAGTTGATCGGTTCAGCCAATTCGGAGATATTTAAAAAAAATGAAAAAAAAAAAACAACTTTTTTTGTCACTCTTTTTTCACTTTTTTTGCAATTATTTCTCGAAATCTACTGGTCCGAATCGGTTCCAACTTACAGGAAATCTAAGTTTGGCGAAGCCCTTTCGAATGACACCAACCGCGATGAAATCGGTCAAGCCGTTCAAAAGTTACGAGAGCCCGGGTAAAAAAGATTATGTACAACTAGCTGTCACCCGCCCGCTCCGCTGGGCATTTTATAGAATTATATTTTGAGATCTAGACTTGAAATTCAATTGGAGTATTGTTTTGACTTGCACAGATTCCAAATTCTATCGGATTGGCCTGTACCTTTCATCCATGTCATCATTCTAGCGAATATCCATTGTAACTTTCAATGTGCAATCACTATAACATTCCCGTGGCTTTCTCCAAAAATAAATAATAATTTTTGGATTTACGATTTTAATTTTTGATTTTACGAAATCTCTTAAAATAAGTAGCCAAATTTCTTTTCCACATCTCAAGTGTTTATAAAATGTATTCATTTTAATCTGTTACATTCCCGTGATCCCGTAATAAGAACAATTCATCGGTTATGTGATCAGCAAAAATAAAATGTATGTAAAATACTCAGTCCGTTGACTATATAGCTACATGTAAAGTTAAATTTTAGAAATCTTATAAGATTGTATTCAATTAGAAATCTATAAGATTGTATACAATGACTTTTTCGCCGCTGCCAAAGAGACGATTGTTGTAAAAAAAATATAATTATTAAAAAAGGAAAATATTTTAATCTGTTGACCTTGGAGGCCATCCCTATAATTACCTGTTTCTCTTGAGATTCTATGAAATTTTATATCTGTAGAAAATATATTTGAAGAATATGAATTTTTTGACAACTATCACCCCCGCACTCCTTTGTGAGAGAGAAATTTCGTAAAATCCTATTCGAGATGATTTTTACATTATAAATAAAATATTCCAACAAAACTTCAAGTCCATAGAAACTATTGTTTTGAAAAGAGAGATTTTCATTGTTAATGCCTCCGCAGTCCCTTTTGGGGTTGGAATTTGATAAAATTCATTCTTAGCTGAGCTTGACATGATACACGAAGACTCCCACCAAATTTGAAGTCTGTCGAAGTTACAGTTTGGAAATTAAAATTTTAGATTTTAACACCCACCGCCGCAATTCCTATCGGAAATAAACTTTATTGAAATCCATTTTGATATGATCTTTACAGGAGAAATAAAAGATTTCTACCAAATTTAGAGTTTTCAGAAGCTATATTTTGGAAATGAACATTTTTTATTGTCAACACCCACTCCCGCGATCCTTATTGGAGGTGATTCGTTGTAAAATCCGTTCTTAGATTATTTTTATATCACATATAGAAGATTCCTACTAAATTTGAAGTCTATAGGAGCTATAGCTTGGAAATTAAAAATTTTCATTGTTAATACCCACCCCCGCAAACCCCTGTGAGGTGAGCTATCATAATATTCGTTCCTATATTATTTCTACATCTCTTACAGAAAATTCCTACCCAATTTGGAGTCTATTGG